CAAGAGTCACACAGCAGAGACACTGATTGCTCAGCAGCTCCGGGGTTTAGAAATGAGCCTGCATAACAAGTAAATGGGAAGAGAGAGTCACCTGCTCAGAATGGAGCAAAGGAGAAGAGCGGCAGGTGAGGGGAGACCACGATAAGAAAAGGGAGACTCTTTTTCTTTTTCTTAATTTTTATTATGAATTTAACACGTTCTTATCGAAAAAACTTACCTCCCCCATCACACACACACACACACACACACACACACACACACACACACACACACATCTCAGCTTCTAAGGGTAACCACAGTTTGGTTTCATTCCTCCCACACCATATTTGATTAGCCATGGGGGAGATTATTACCTGGCTTGGGAGTGGAGCTGACACCCTCAACTTGACCTCCCTCTGCCGTAGAGGTTTATATTCCCCGGAAGCTGGCAGTAGAAAGAGAGTGGTTTCTAAGCATAATCAAACATGTATGTGTCCACATCTTTTTTATTTTTTATTTTTTTACTATATATATATAATTTTTTTAAACATTTTATTTTTTAATTTTCCCCCTCCCCGCTCCCTTCTGGTAACCACTAGTCCATTGTCCACGTTCACGAGTCTCTGTTTGTTTGTCCTGTTCATTTGCTGCTTTTAGGTTTATATCTCACATATGTGATATCATGTGATTTTCAACCTTTTCTGTCTGGCTTATTTCGCTTAGTATTATTATTTCAAGGTCCATCCATGTTTTTGCAAATGGCAGCATCTCATCTCTTCTTATGGCTGAGTAATATTCCATTGTATATGTGTATCACAGTTTCTTTAGCCAATCATCTATCGTAGGACACTTCGGTTGCTTCCATGTCCTGGCCACTGTGAATAATGCTGCTATGAACACTGGTGTGCAAATAGCTTTTCAAATATGAGTTTTCAAGCCACATCTTTTTAAATAAGCATTTGTGTGGCATCATAATGCTTAGTCTCATGCCTTTCTCAGTTAATGATACTTCTTGGATATTCTTCTCTGTCAGATGGCTCTACCTCCTTTTTCATGACTGCATAGTATCCCGGCATAAGCCTGCACTGTAATTTATTTAGCATATCTCCTCCTGGGGGCATTTCAGTTAGTTACAATTTTTCACCATTATAAATAATCAACAATAAAAACACCTGAACACATGTACTTGAGCACATGTGTGAGTTCTGCATGATGATATATAGTCACGTAAGTAGATTTTTCAGCTTCGCAACAGATTGGTGTCTAGTCACTGACTAGAGACAGCTTAATATTTCAAATTAGTTATTTGCCCACTCAGCCAGAGCAAATGCTCAGAATAGCATCATCTCCTCTTAGAATCTGGACTTTCAGAGCTGGACGGGCTAAGGCCCCTAATGACTCATATTCAAATGACACTGGACCATTTACAAGACACTCTGTCACATTCTGGTTCACCTGATCCTCATATTGATTTTTCAGAGTAGGCATCATTAGAATCATTGTTTGACAGAGGAGGAAACAGGCTCAGAGAGGAGAAGACATCTGCCCAAGGTCACACAGCTCATAACAAAGGACGAAGAAACCCGAGATGGATCCAATTAAATCCTGCCTTCTTTCTAAATCCATAAAACGTGATGTCACTTATAAGAAGAGCTTTAGGGGGGACAGTTAGCTGAAAAAGCAGGTGAAATAAACATCCGCCTACATGGCAGAGTTTGCAGGATAGATTAGTTTGCTGTTGATGGGGTAACAAATTACCAAAAAATGCATGGCTTAGAACAACCCAAATTTATTATCTTCAAGTTCCGGAGGTCAGAAGTCCAGAATCGATCTCACTGGGTTAAAATTAAGGTGTCAGCAGAGCAGAGCTCCTTCTGGAAGGCCTAGTTTCTTCCTGACGCTTTCCAGCTTCGAGGGGCTGCCCACGTTGCTTGGGTCATGGCTCCCTCCGGCCACTGCACCACTCTGACCTCTGCTCCATCGTCACATCTCCTTCTCTGACTCTGACCCTTCTTCCTCCCGCTTATGAGAATCCCTGTGACTATACTAGGTCCCCCAGGATAATGCAGGGTACTCTCCCCCATCTCAAGATCCTTAACTTCATCACATCTGCCAAGTCTCTTTAGCCACGTAAGGTAACATATTCGAAGGTTCTGGGGATTAGGATGCGAACATCTTTGGGCAACCATTATTCTGACTACTACATGGGGTTCCCAGAATAGTAGTTAAGAGCAAGAGTTTACTTCGGTTCAAATCCTGGCTCTACCACTTGCTAGAAGCGTAACTCCTCTGAGTTTTCGTTAACCTCACCTGAAAAACTGGAATAACAGACTATTCCTTCTAAGGCTGTTGTGAGGATTGAATAACACAATGTGTGTGGAGCATGTGAAACATGGGGCTCAGTAAATGGTCACTGTCATCTTCCCCACTGCCTATTTCAGTAACGGGTAACAGAAATTCCATCATTCAAGATTTCTTTCTTTGGCTCATTCTTCAAGGATATATCTCAGGCCCCTGTTCAGCTGACACTTAGTGGGATAAGTTGGCAGTTAAATTAAGTCAGGCGCCTCCGTGGGACATGGAGAACCTGAAAAGATTGAGAAAGTAACCACATTGAGAGAGAGGGCACTGAAAGAGACAATGACAAAGAGAAACATGCTCCCTTTGCCAGCTTCTCAGTTTTGCCTGTGGCTCAGCTTTGGCTGAGGATTTGTCCAGCCTCTCCCCAGATTAGCCGGCATAAACCAGCCTAAAAGGAACACTCCGGAGATGGTTTTCTGAGATAGACGGGAACTACCCAGTTGGGTTTGCAGCAGAGCAAGGCGAATCTGCAGCTGGATCCTGGCATGGAAAAGTACTGAGGCTCTCCTTGAAGACAGAAAAAGCTGGAGCAGCTGTCTGAAGTGATCACCCCAAGTCCAGGCCTCTCCAAAGCAGGTCTTACAGAGTGAAATGAAATCCAGATTCTAGTCTTATCTGAGAGCTACGTGACAGCTCCCCATCACTCCTTGGGAGCCTGAAAGATACCCACATTCACTGTCTAGACTTTGAGATGTATATACACAGATCTCAAGTGGGAGCATGTTGTCATAGCTACCTGCCTACACAAAAGGGCTCCCCACTTTTGCTAAAATAATATTATTATTTGGGGCTTTCAGTCATCCAACAAAAGTGTGTTGAGCACCTGCGGGGGGGCAGACAAAGCGGCGGGGGCACAGGGGCCCCTGTCCTCAAGGAGAACAGGAGTCAGACTTGTAAAGAATTACATCCCTGTGCAGAGCGGCACAAAGATAGCTCCTCTTCCTGAGTGGCAGGGAGGGGAAGCAGGGTAGCCTTGTTTCAAGGTTGAGAACATGTGCAGACTGACAAGGAATTATTCTAGAGCGAGAACACAGGCTCTCAAGCAGACCCACTGGAGTCTAACTCCTGACACTCCCCAGCTGTGTGACCTTGGGCAAATGACCTCAGCTCCTTAAGCCTCGGCTTTCTCTTCTGTAAAGTGGGTGTAAGCAATGACTGTCTCCGGGGTTGTTACAAGAATTTAAAGGAACGTGCAAGGGAAGTGTGTGGCAACCCAGTGCTCGGTCCATGGCAGGGATGTGTGGAATGGCAGTTATTGTTATACTCATGGAAACTCGCTCCCGTTTCCCCAATTGCCTTCCCCACCCCCAAATCACAAGACGCCCCAAATTTGCCTTTTCGTGAACACCAGGGTCCTGTTGAACTGTTCCTGAGCAAGAAACAACAGATGGGGAAAAAAAATACCCACCAGGACCACTCTGTAGGTAGACACACGTGGAGACCATGTGTACCCATGAATTCAGCAGTTTGGAAGTGGACTTGATTACCATTCACCAGGGCGTCTGATTTCTGTCCTGGACAGGGTAGATTCCCAGTAGGAGGCGCCTTCTGTCCTCAGCTCACTTCTCCGACACCTGGCCAGCTGCCTACTGACTTTTCTCAGGGTTTGAACTTCAAAGAACTGGACTTTCACGCGGGCAGGGGACCCTCTCTTGGAATTCAAACAGTCTACGATTGAAAGCGGAGGCGGGCTGCATTCTCCCTCTGCTTAGAAGCTAGGTTTTCGGTGGTTTGGCTGAGATCAGCCTATCCAGTTTGAATGCCAGGCCCGCACGGTTCCAGGGCAAACCTCCCGGTAGGGGCCAGAGACAAAGGCGCAGGTAAGAGGCGCCCTCGCCAAGCTCAGGTTCACCCTTCCCCAGAACTAGGCCTCTGGCAGCGGCGCGGGGGCTCTGAGCAAAGGCGGGCCACCAGCCTGCCAACCGGTCGGCGAGAGGACAGCAACCGGTGTTTCTTTGAGAAAGTCTTCCGCAAAGCTAGGAATGGGCCCTCAGCAAGGGAGACACCCGAACCTAGGCGCCCCCATCCGGTGCGCGGGCTCCACTCCCGCAGAGGCCCAGGCGTGCGACCCCAAGGGCGCGCAGGGCACCCGGGAGAGGGTCGGGAGCCGAGCCAAGGACATGAGATGACTCGCTTTTTAAAAACTCTCTTCCCAAACCTCCGCCCATCAATCACCTCTCAGAGCACTAGCCCTGGGCGGTGCAGGGCGGGCCCCAGCACCCCGAACCCATAGAGAGGGAGGCAGCTGCCTCTCCAGAAAGAGCGGGGAGAGGCGGGCGCACCAGGTGAGTGCCAGGTCAGGTAAAGGCGCGGCGGGCGGGCCCGCGGTGCTGAGTCTCTGCACTTGCGCCTAGGGTGGAGTGAGGGGGAATCTCCTAGCTCTACTTAACTCACAAATACCCGGACTCGTGGCCCAAGATTCCCCCCAAAACTCCCACATCCAATTCCGCGGCCCTTGGGGATGGGACGAGGACTTGGGCCCAGCAGCCCCGCGACCCCCGCATTCCCTAGCCTACGCGAGGGAGCGGGCGCCCGCCCTCCGCGCCTTGGTTCCCGCGCCGCGGGCCTCGGGGTGGTGCGGAGGGCTGGGAGGGAGGGTCGACTAGTGGGCGGTGCCTCTCGGGGCTGGAGGCCTCTCCCGGCCGGCGCCGCCCTCTGCCTCTCGCGGTCCCTCCCTCCCGCACGCCGGCGCTCCGAGGCCGAGCTTCCTGCGTCCCCATCCTGGTCTCGCAGCTGGTGGTGCGCCCTCTCCGCCACCGCCTCCCTTCGCCGAGAGACCCTCCCCGCGCCCGGAGCCCTAGCCCCGGGATCCCAGTGTCCCGGAGGAGGCAGCCCCGGGGCAGGCGGGGTCGTGGAGACCCTAGCCCCCGACCGCTGGACGGAGACCGACCTGGACCCGCCGCCGCCCGGGTGAGTGTGCGCCGCCGCGCCTTCGCCCCCGGAGGGGTGACTGTTGGTTTCCCAGGAGGGGGTCGAGGACTGTCTCAGACTGTCCGTCGGTCGGTCCGAGAGCTTCCTGTCCCGGATCTGCCGCCGGCAGGACTCCGTACCCAGACCCACTGGACACCCCTGTCTCCCGGGCATCGTGCTGGGACCTAGTTGGCCTCAGCTGGGGGAAGGCATCCGACCTCCGGGGCCCCCTGTTGGCGGGGACAGGAGCCATCCGCCCGGTGGGTTTCGAACCCTTGACCTCCACAGAGGCACCTGTGCTTAGAGCAGAATTTCCCAGTAGGTCCCTGGAAACCACCCTGGCACTGCGCTCGTGATCTCCCCTCCCCAATCCCTCACTCCTTTCTGGAAGTCGAGGCTTTTTAGCGATTTAGATTCGGATGCACCTATGAGTGTGGTACGTACTAGAAGCAAAGGGGTGAGGAATCAGGCGTGAGCAAAGTTTGACGAAACTCAATTTCTTACATGTAAAATGTGAGTGATAAGCATCTGGTGAGGCGGGGCACTCATACCAGCACATAGCGAGTACGTGGAACCCCAAGCAGATCTACAGCCCGAGTCCTGAGGCAAGGCCTGTGGCCCGCGAGCCCAAGTCTGATGAGGAGGGATGATGGTCAACTTCAGTAAGGAATCCTTCCTGACAAAGAGGCGGGGGAACAGGATACCTGGACGTCCGAACGGCTTCCCCAGCCCCGCCCGGGCACTCTCTGGCCTGCAGCAGCCGTGGGGCCCCTTTGCAGCTCTCGGATGGGCCTGCGTGACCCGGGCCAGGTCCCTCCTCGCAGCGCTGGTGGTGCGGGAGCTGGGAACCTAGGCGCTGCCGGAGTGAGGGGGGCGGGGCAGGGGCGGGGCCGGAGCGGGGTGGGCGGGACCGGCGCCAGCGGGGAGGGCGGCCAGAGAAGAATTGCCCTCTTGGGTGGCTTCTGGCTTTCACTTTGAGGAAGCTTGACTAGTGAAAGGTCAGCTCTGGGACCTGTGAACGGATTTCACACGTTGGAGACTTGTCACAAAGGATCTCGACCTAAGTAGATAGGGCTTGATAGTATTAGGAGGAAGCCCCTTTCCCTCCAGACATCTCCCTCCCCAGCTTACCAGAGGTACCACCCAGAGTGGGGGAAAAAGGCAGAAGAGAGAGGAAGGGGAGGAGGCTGGTGGTGCATCTGTTCCTCACGACCTCCTGAGCTGACAGTGGTTCCATGATTAGGCATCTCACAGGGCCAGGCCTGCCCCAGGAATATCAGGCCAAGGGGCCTCAGAGAGCTCCCAGCCTAGTGAGTAGTAAATGACAAATGTCTCAGAGAGACGATATAGTCAGGCCCCACCACTCGCTGGCCATGTGACCCATAGTGGGCGGTCACTTGGCCTTTCAGAGCCTCATTTCTTCATCCATACAGTGGGATTGATAACCTCCTGGGGTCAGCATTCACACCTAGCATGTAGCCAGTGCTCCGAGAAGTTACGTTACAGGGCTTAGGTGAGAACAGAAAAAAAGAAAAAGCATATAACTCAGGCTGACGCATGCCAAGAAAAGAATGGCGGAATATCAAACGGCGAATGGGAGTCCCTCGGGCGAATGGGGAGGAAGGATGTCTGCAGATGGACCGGCACAAGCAAAGGCATGGAGGTGTGCAGGGCACATGGAGTGCTGGGCAGGGGTACTCAGGTGGTGCCAGATGGGGAAAGCAGAGGGAGTGGAGGGTCTGAAGTGAACTGGACTGAACAGGCAGGGCCAGGTCACTGCAGGTGGGACATCGTCTTGTAGATGTCTCGGAACCATTCAGCCGATGTCCACTGAGTGTCTTTTGTGCTCCAGACACTGTTCTAGGTGCTCCGTATACACCGAACAAGAAAGACAAAGAAAGATACAAATGCCGTTCAAGTTCTTTAAGCAGGGGAGTCATTCGATCCTCGTGGTACCTTAGGAAGATAATTCCGGCTGTGTGGAAGTTGAATAGAAGTTTGGAGAAGGCTGGCCTGGGGTTGGAGACAGTGGGAATGAAAAGCGGGGGCCGGATTGGAGCACCACACAGGAGGCAGAGGTTAACATGTGGCCTTAACATGTGACCACTGGTCAAGGGTAAGATCCGTGGATTGGATGTGAGACCCAAACTGAGCATGTCTCTTACCATAGAGGTAGCGAGTGCCTGAGACCTTGGCTGGCCTGTAGCTGTGGCTTTCAGGCTCTCTGACTCTAGATGTTACAAGGTCCAGGTGTCTATGTGAGGAATGGCAGAGCAGGTGGCAGAGCCAGCAGCCTGTCTCCTGTTAACATTTGCTCTGGGCAGCCTTCTCCTTTGGCGGCTCCTGTTTTACTGGGTCATGGCTCTGGTAAATAAGTGTCCAGCCCCCCTCTGCAGGGCTGGCAGTAACGCCCTCATAATTCTCAGGCCGGAAGAGACTGGAGAGTGACAGGCTTTGGTTCTGGGCTTCTCTTCCCTCAGCTCCAAATTAAGGCAGAATTTGAAGGACTAAGAAGGCTTTTCTCCCGAAGTGCCTGGAAAGTTCCAGAAGCTCAGATGTCTTCTGATGGGAGATGTGGTAAAGAGTCTGCTCTAGCTACTACTGGCTTTTGCTTTCACTTCTGTTGTGCCTGCTCTGAACCTTGGAGGAGTCCTCGCAATCAACAGCTGATAGAATTTCCTTCTCTGTGTTATAAGTCTCCCTTTGCTTGGAGGTGGAGCACACACGGCCTTCCCTTGCCACAGGAGGACCCTGGGAGGTCTCGGGTGTAGGAAACCACTCATTTGACGTAGGAAACTCAGATGAAGGCACTTGCCCAAGGGCACACAGCAAGTCAGCAGCAGAACCAGGGCTGTCACCCAGCCCTCCTGATCCCCCAGCATCCTCTGCATTATCCCAGGAGACCCAGCTACATTTGGGTCAGAGACTTGTTTTAGGCCCGAGATTAGTCCAGGTTTGGTGGCTCTCAACATCTCAGTCTCGCTGGCCACTTCATAGAGTCTTGCTCCTCCCGGGCCTGCACAGGTGGCCCAGCTTCACCTGGTGACGCATTTTCCCTCCCTTCTCCTGGATGGAGCTCTTGATGCACCGCCTGCCTCTCTTGGGAGCTCTGGCTCCCCAGAGAAACAGGTCACTTGTTTGGTTTTCTCTGCTTCGGGCCAGACTGCCCTGCCCCTCCCAGACTGCCCGAGACACAGGCCAGAGGTGGTTCTCTGAGGGTCTCGCTGAGCACTCCCCCTCCCTGTGGCCTCAGGCTGATTCTCAACATCTCCCTCCCCAGAGCCCCAACCTGTATCTCAGAACTGCTGGGGCGGCCCTCGCCTCCTATCCAGTGTTGTTTACTTGGGCTGAGGAGCTGAAAGTCTTATTCTCTCTTGCCCTAGATTTATCAGACCCAGCAGCCCTTAAACCTGAATGCTGGTCCCTTTGGCTCTTAGAAAGTGGAGCCAGAACGGACTTTAGCCATCAGAAAGTCCAATCTGTTTATTGTACAAATGGGAAACTGAGGCCCAGGGAAGGGAAGGGAAGAGGAGGAGAGAGGAGGGGAGGGGAGGGGAGGGAGGGGAGGGGAAGGGAGGGAAGAGAAGCCTGCGATCAGAGCCAAGTCTAGAACCAAGTTTACTGATTCTGCCTTGAATAATTTTGAGGATGATGCTTGGAAAAAGAAAACAAAAACCCAGAGCTCTCTCTCCTCCAGGAGCCCTTCCTCCCTGCACTCCACACTGCCAGGCATTTCGGGGGCCTCCGCAGTGACATGTCCAAAAGGAGTAACTGCCAAGGCCCCTGGAAGACAAGGGCTGCACATCAAGACTATATATCTTGACATTTTCGGTTTCTGTCTGGTCAAGCTGGCATGAACACCGGGAAGTAAGCTAGCGATTAAATTTATTTGCTGCTCCTTAACCATCCTTTATAATGCGGACAGGCTTTTAAAGTTATTTTCATCCCCAGATTACAAAAGAAGTACACGTTCATTGTAGAGAACTTGAAAACACCACGTTATGCTGGCAGCCACTGTTGACGCTGCGATGCTTTATTCAGGTTTTCTGTTTGCTTGCTTGCTTAGTCTGCTATTTCATATCCTGGTGTTCAGTGCATCATCATAACATGTATTTTCCCCATGTGACAGTTTTGCATACCAGCTCCAACCTACCAGTCATCGATGGCTGGAAGGTGTTCAAGAGGCCAGCTTCCTGGTCGGCTCCCTCAGAATACCCCCATGGCCAAAAGCCTGTAACACTGTGCAGATTCACTACCACTGTGGGACTTAGGGGGCCATTCCTCTGCATGGCCATGGGTTCTTGGAAAAGGGCGATGTTTATAAAATCTAAAACAAAACGGATTCTCAGTGAGCCTCCTAGAAATAGAGGAGGTCAGCCATCTGGGTGGCATGGGTGTGACCCAAAGATCATACAGAGGGAGGGAGAAATCTTTGTTTCTCTTGTGTTTTTGCTGTGTTGGTTTTAACCCAGCCAGGTGTTCCCACCCTGCTGTCATCACCCTTTGCTCTAGATCGCCCCGAGATTAGGTATTGGTGCCAAGTACAGGTTCCTAGGAAAAAGAAAACAGTATTTGACTTGCTTGTCTCCCTGCTTCTTGGAGTACAGGTGTTTTAATAGCAAAGATGTGCAGAGAATTTATTTACTCTGGTGATGAGGTGGGTCAGTCCACCTTGGGGACAGTATCTCCTGGCCTCTGTCATCCCCTAACAGGACCCCAGCTTTATTAATGACCTATACATTGTCAATAGGCTAATGTTTGCAGACTGGGTTTTTTTTAATTAGTTAAGTGGTCTTCCAGTGGCTTTTTAAAAGAGAAATAGAAGAAAGTAGACTTGAAAATAGAGTGCATATCCTGTCATGAAAAGTATGCTTTAGTAAAACTTCCATCTGTTTGTGCATGTGGGTCTGCTCCGCGTCGCCAGATAAATATATTTCCGACAGCACCTTGAGCAGGAACCTTGAGCAGCCCTGCTCCGGCCCACTGGCTTTTATTCTGTG